CTTTCTGTTTTCTCCGTTCCAACTCTCCCTCTGCCCGCTGATTTCGCCGGCACCACCACGCAACTGCCCCCGCCCCCTCCCACTCTCTCTCTCTCTCCCCCTCTCCCTCTCAGTCTCTTCCTCCTCGGTAATTTACATCCTTCTTCCTTCACACACACACACACACAGACACGCGCAGGCAGAGAGTCTCACACAGTCCGTCCCTCGCACAGGACACACAAGCCCACATGCTCCCTCTCTCCCAGTCGTGCTGCTGCTGCTGCCGCTTCTTCTTCTCTCCCTCCTCAGTACTGCACCGCAGCGGGCTTGCTGCGCAGCGCTGACTCGGTGGCGGCCTCGTCCTCCTCGACGGCCTGTCGCATGCGGTTCAGCACGTTCTTCTTCTCCACCACCTTACGCTCCTCGTCCTCGACGTAGCGCATAGAGCGGTCGACGAAGCGGCCGCGCTCCTCCACCGACTTGATGCCGTACTCCTGCAACGGGTGCACAAAGGGAACGGCGGCACGCTCGTACTTGGCATGCACGCCCTCTTCAATGCTGTGGAACAGCTGCTCGCCCGCATCCTGCGTCGCGTTGAGGGCGTTGATGACACCGGTGACGCCCTTGATCTGCTCGATGATGCCCTCGAGCTCGACGCGGTAGTTGTTCATGTTCGGGTCGAGGCTCTCCATCGCGGAGTTGCGGTTGTGCTCGAGAAGGCGGGCCTGTCGCTCAAGCGTGTCGAGACGGTGCATCTTCTTCACCGTCAGCTCCCCGCAGCACGCGACGAACTTGCTGTACGCGGTCATGAAGTCGCCCGCCTCCATGTCGTTGAGCTGGTTCATGACCTCGCGCAGGTTCTGTCGTGGCATGCGCGTGACCATGTCGTCCACGTACGACTGCAGGCTCGGCACCACCGCCTCCACGCGCTCAAAGTACTCGAGGCAGCGCAGAAGGCGGCGCTTCTGCTGCTCCTCCATGTCGACAAACTCGTTGTACGAGGTGATGCGCTCCTCCTCCTCCCGCTTCGCCCGCACCTGGGCCTCGGCCAACTCCTTCTGCTTCACCGTCAGCTCCCGAAGCTCGCGGGCCTTCTGCCGCAGCTCCTCCACCACCTTGCGCTTGCTCTCCACGACCTTGACAAGGTCCGCGTCCATCGCCTTCACCTTGGCGCAGAACGCGTCGAGGCACTTGTTGTGCGTGGTGTCCTCTTCGACACGCTTCTTGTCACAGTTGCGGAGGTCCTCGCGGAGGGCGTTACGCCGCGTGCGGAGGTCGTCGGCGAACTTCGTAACCGCTTCCTCCGCGTCGCGGTGCAGCGCGTCCATCTCGGCGGCGAAGCTGCTCTCCTGTGCCGTCATGTCGTCGCCGAGGATGCGCTGCATGCGCTTTGCACACACCGCCACGTACTCGTAGCGCACAGCAATAAGCTGCCGGTGGTGGCGCTCCACCTCCACCACATCGCCGCCGGCGAGGGCGCGCTCGTACGCGCTGATGGCTTCATCGAGCTTCCGCTGCGCCTTCTCGAGCTCAACGTCGAGCTCGGAGAGCTCTGAGCGCAGCTCCGCCATGAGGTCGACGTGCTGGATCTCGTAGAGCGCACCGCACACATCGGCGAGGTCGCGGGTAAGGTCAGACGGCTGGTGCGGCTTCAGCGCGGTGAGGTTCTCCCGCATCAGCAGGAAGCGGCCGCGCGGCAGCTCCGACGGGGCGTCCCGAAGCGTCTGCAGGATGCTCTGCACTCCCGTGACGTCGAGTGAGGGGCGCCCCACTATTTCCGCCATCTGGTCCCGCGTCACCTGCTGCTCGCAGTGCTGCATTAACTTCTCTTCCGTCCATCCACATGGGGCCTCGTGCTTGTAGCGCTCCTTAAGCTCGCTGGCGGCGGCGAGGAGGTCGATGCCACGCGCTGAGAGGGGCACCAGGCGGCCCTCTGTGTACGCCACGTAATTCTCTGCTGTGGCGATGGCGTTCTCGACAAGCTCATAGAGTGCTGCCACGGCGCGGTGGTTCTCAGCTTCCTGCGCCTCCTTTCGCGGGTACTGCGGCCGTACAAGGGCACAGCTGTCGTGGTAGACGGTCATTGGCGTTGGTGTCTTTTGCCTTATTCTGTTTGTGTCTTCGAGTTAGCCTTAAATTTTCTTTTTGGTTTCTTCCTGTAGATGTGTGTGCGTAGGTGCAAATATCGCGTTCCTCGTGTGTCGGTAGTAACCCCCCCCNAAAAAAAAACAAAAACAAAAACAAAAACAAAACAAAACACGGAGAACAAAAACGCCACAGAAGGAGTATAATTCGTATTACGAAAAAAATAACAGTTATAGCGGCAACAGTCATAGTTCTGGTCGTAGTAGAGGTGACCACAACAGCCGCAGCATCAACATCAAGGACCATCGCGGCGGCGGAGGCAGAATCAGAAGCAATGACGGGTAAAAACAGCAATAGAAGCAACCACCACCACCACCAACAACAAAAAAGATAATCCAACACGCCAAGAACGACCTTCCCCACCACCACCACCACCACCACCGCCATTTACCTTCCCACCACTTGCAGCAGCGGGCATAGGAGGTAATCGGATGGAACTGAGAACGAGGCAAGATGGTATTGGTGGTGGTGATAATAATGCTGCGGTTGCGTCTGTCCATGACTGGGCTCAAGCCAACGAAAGGACGGAATAAGGAGACACACACACACACAGAAAACTAAACGAAAGCTTATTCTCCCCAAAAGCACACTCACTTACTCACTCTCATTCCTTCTCATCTCACTCNTGGTGATAATAATGCTGCGGTTGCGTCTGTCCATGACTGGGCTCAAGCCAACGAAAGGACGGAATAAGGAGACACACACACACACACACACACAGAAAACTAAACGAAAGCTTATTCTCCCCAAAAGCACACTCACTTACTCACTCTCATTCCTTCTCATCTCACTCACATGCGTATTTTTTCCAATCATCACAGCATACCGTCCTGTATTCTCTTGCTTGTGCAACGCAAAGGTCGTAAGGGGGTCTGGTCTCACTGCTCCTTCTTGCTTCGCTCCTTCAGGGCTTTTTCGATTAGTCGATCGTCGAATTCTTGTGGCTTGTTGCAAAAGTACCAGACAACGGCAGCCAGAACGCCAAGAGAAACAGCGGAGGATATGATAATAGCGGCGATGGTTGCGCTACTCATCGGCTGGTCATATGAGTACGTCTCGGGTGCCTCTGGGAGGCCCTCAAACGTGATCCACACACGGGCGCAGCGGTATTCAAATGGGAGCCCGGAGCTGCTGAAGCCAACTTCCATGTACATGGTGTTGCCCGTGATGTATTCGTCGCTCAGGGTGCCCAGATCCTTTGTCACGCTGTGCAGCGTATAGTTACCTTTGCCGCCAAAGAATCTCTTCAAGGCGGCACCTGTTTTAAGCGGCCTGGACACCTTCTGTCGGTCCATCAACTCGGGGTGATTGAAGGGGTAGATGATGAAGTCGAACTGCCCGTCCTTTTGCAGCGGGTGGCCGCTGATCATTCCGAACGAGTATGGGTCCGACGAATCCGGGGCCAGAATGAAGCTGAAGAGCTGCCCCGAGCGCTCCAATTCGCTGTATTTCCCCAGCACGCCCTTCCTCAACGTCACGTAGACGCCGTCACGCTCCACGGTGCCGAAGGCGGCTTGCGGCTCCTTTAGCGCGATGATGTTTTCCATCTCGTCGTTCTCCATCCAGCGGTAAGTGACGTTGAGGTTCAAGGCGAGGGTCGCACTGCGCCGCACCCGCACGCAGTAATCGCTCTCGCTGCTGCGCGGCAGGCCGAGCGCTCCGCCGTGCTCGTCGCGGCATAAGGCGGTGTTGGTGAGGCGCGGCGACGCGAGCAGCAGGCGCGGGGCGCAGACCCACCCTTGGCTGGCGCCCTTCAGCTGCCAGATGGTGCCGAGCGGGCAGATGCACACCACGTCGGTCTCTGCAGCGTGCGTACACGCGCCGCGCTCCTCCTCAGTCAGATTGCTGTACGCCGCGCCCGTCACATTCGTGTCATTGCAGCTGAAGACAGTGGATCCAGGCACCGCAACGTAGCCCCGCGAGCAGCGCCGCTCCGGTGTCGGCTCCGCCTTGGCGGAAAACCGCAATAAATCCCCCTCCCACTCATTCTCCTCATCCTCATCGCCGGATGGCACTTCCTCATCCAATTCCATCGCGTCTGCTTCTGATGCTGGTTTCCCTATTTGGGACTCACTAAGCAAATAATTCCGCCCCTTCGTCCCCCTTGCCATTTCCGTAGCCACTGTTGTTGCTACCTTATTCTCTTCTGCCTCCCCCGCACGTAAATCCATGCGGGCGAGACGTTTAATTTCGTCGATCCACGTCTGCGGCTCCGCCTTGTTGAAAAGCTTCTCGGTGAAGGAGCTCACAACTTGCACCACACGAATGAATTTTGCCGTAGCGCTATCGCCACGGTGGACAGGCTGTTGCTTCTGCATTCCGCCGTTTACATCGTCCACGACGAAGAGGAGGAGGAGAAGCAGCGCGAGAGAAACTTGCGTCACTGCACGTTTGGCGCGTGTCATGTGAATGCGTATACGTACAACTAAAAGAAGCAAAAACCAAAAAAAAAAAACGGTGTATATGGCAGCGCTTTTCACGCGTGCCCCAAAGCTTCAACTAAACCACTAGCGAAATAAATAGAAAGAAACACGAAAGACACATCATATATAAGCACGATAAAAATAAATATATGTATATGTATATACCACCAGTAAGACACTGGGTGCCATACCAAAGTGTGTGTGTGTGTGAATCCGTGAAAGAGAGAGCCCCTTTGCGGTCGAACCCCCCCGCCGTCACAGAACTGCATGGCGCCTTCCCTGCGCGCGCCGCACCCACAAGAAATACTACCGTCACACCCACAAGAGCGAGGCGCACCGAGATGCCCCATCTGCTCGCTCTTGTTACTTCGATGTCTTTGCGGTTTCCGCCATGCCCGCCTCAAATGCGCGGCTCTCCTCCCCCTTCAGCTGGTCCATCGCCGCCTGCCCTTCGCAGTACGCCTCCATGCGCATAGCCAACGCCGACGCCTTCTGCAGCTCCTCCGCGCTCCACGCCTCCCGCGCCGCGAGGAGCCTTTGCACGTCTGACGGCAGCTGCACCGCTGTCACGGTGAACATCGTTATGCCAAGCATTGCCAGCGGAGTGCAGGCACGACACAGCACGCGGTTCGACGTGAACCCGCTTGCGAGGGACTGCACGGGGTCGGCGTAACGGTAGCCGCGCACCGCCAGCCACCCGCCGACGCCGAGCCACCCACACTGCATGCCAACCGCCCACGTGGCACGCTTGTAGGCATAGCTGAGCATCCCCTGCTGGGCATCATGGACGGCGTACAGGCGCTGCGCCTCTTCCATACGCCGCACGTACGCCGTGGGAATTGCGAGTCCCTCCGCCAGCGCCGGGTCGCTGATGAACGGCGAGTCTGGCGGGGCGTGAACGTCCCAGTCGATCCCGCTTGCGTCCGACGTCTTTGCACTCATGCGACCAATCGGAGTTATGAGGAAAAGAAAACACTGGGTACTATAAATAAATCTCGCTATGCCATTCATGTATATACACGCACGCATACGAATGCGTACAGAAAAAAATAAAATACAAATAAAAACAAGAGACGAAGATAACAGAAAGAGACGATATGGTGATGCGCGATGCTTTTTTTTGTTTGACGTGCCAAACAAGCACGATCGTGGCACTTTTGTACGCCCCCTCCCCTCTCCCATATGATGTTCGAAGTGAAAGTGTGCGGCACACTGTGGAGAGATCTGACCTTTGTGAGGAAACGCCCAAGGCGCGCTAGCATGCAATCCATTCCACAACAGAATCCTACGCAAACAGCCTGTCGCACACTCAAGAGCCCAATATCTGCTTCAGGGTTTTCCTTTACGTGTTATATTCCCTCTTCACACAAGGCCTTGTAAGGAGGACAAAAAATAAAAAAAATTCCTTCATATCTTCTTGTTTTTCACAGAGTGACGGTATCGTGCCCGTTTTTCCCTCTCCACACGCACTGCTTGGTGGACACATGCACTCAAGCTGTCAGCATTTAGGCTCGGCACCACGTGACTCACAAGGCTGATGAGGCTCTGCACGTATCCGTTAGACAGCCCCGCACCTCCTGTAGTCCCTTTCTCCGCCATGTAGTAGTGCGAGGTACCAATCGTGCTTATCACATGTGTGCTATTCAAAGAAATGAACTGAGGAGCTTGTAACCGCTGCACGTCCTGGAGGAATGGCTCAAGACGTGCGTACAGCTCCACACGCCGCGCCACGTCGGAGCTATTGCCGTGTGAGCGAAGACGCTGGCCGTTTGCCGCTGGTATTAGGTAGCTGTCCGACAGGTCGTACTCCACCATGCCAACTGACGCGGGCAAGCTTCCCTGTTTCTGACATGCCACCAATAGGCGAAATGCCTTCAGACTGTTCGTTGTCATACCACACGAACTGTCATGCAGCAGCAGTAGTGTCACACCCTTCAATGATGCCTCATTCCCCTCCTCCCCTTCCCTTTGTTGTTGCTCTTTCGCCTCTTTCGGCTGCTGAACATGAACGATATACGGTACAGTCGCGTGGGCTGGAAGCCATAGAAACCACGGGGCGTGCTGTCCGGAGGTGCCGTACATCGGGCTTCGGAGTGTCGCGAGTGGGTCAAGGAACGTTGCGGCTTGCAATCCTGCGCGAAGCTCCACCAACGCGGTGCGGAACTCCTCCGGCGTGGGGTGAGCGACTGGAAGACCACTGTGGGGCTTTTCTTGCAGATTCGTCTGATCAAGAAACAGGCTTCTCCAACCCTCCTTGGGGCTTTGCAGTTCCTCCGCGTCGATCTCCAGCGGAGCAACCCTGCCGTTGCCGTGAAACACATACACCTCACACAGCCTTGGAGGCTCCTGTTTGAAATGCCGCCACACAGAGAAGCGGAGTTCCTCCACCAGCGCAGCCGCCTCATCAGAGACGACTGTCACGTACTGCACACGATTGTCGTTGGAATTGGCGTGTGCTGCGTGGAAGACGGCCCTCTCACAGCCTTCTTTCCCTTTAGTAGGAGCGGGAGGGAGCACAACCACAACCAGCACTCGCTCACCCGCCTTATTCTGCGGCGTTGCTGCTGCTGCTGCAAAGGGCTTCTGGCGCAACAGCTCCTGCATTCCCGCGAAGGTCACCCCAAAGTGGCGCTCGTAAACTTGCTGCAGGTCCCATCCCGTGGCGTGGCTCCGAAGAGGCTGCGCCAAATTGCTTGTCTCCAGAAAGTCAACGAGACGCATGCCGAAGCTTCTGCTCCAGAGCACTTTATCCGAATATCTAGTGGGCGCAGGAAACAACAGCACACGTGCAGAAAAATGCTCAAGGGTGCCTCCCCTTGTTCCATCCGGCAGCAGCTCCACTCTTTCCAACACCGTAAGCCGCACTCCCTCCGTCACCGGCAACAACTTGAGGCGAGAAATAAGATCCGCTGGAAACCTCCACCTACTAAATTTTGCCAGAAACTCCAGGCTTTCCGGCTGGAGCTTCTCCAGGGATGCCACGCGGAGTTTATCCCATCCAGCATTATGGGATTCCGCCAGCTGCTCTTCCTGCACAAAGAATACAGGCAGCGCATCACCCATTCTGCGGCGGATATCAATCGATGAATCGAACAGAATGTCACGCAGTGGCGAAGTCCCCTGCTTCTCATCGTAATCTGCACCCTTGCACACAATAAGCGCTAGCCTGTCGAAGCGCCGGAGTACAGTGTGGAGCTCCTTCACAGACCGCAGCTGCAGGTATGAGCGGGAGTTGGTGATGATGAAGTCACTTACACGGCGCAGGGTTGCGGGCCCACGCAACGTCTGGATGCCCTGCATGCCGTTCGTGCAAAAAAAAATGCCTGGGGACTGTAGGACCATACGAAGCGTGTCGTGGCCGAAGAATTCATTTGTGTCAAAGTCGGCCTGCCGGATGGCCGCAATGATTTGCGCCGGCTCCGTCGACTCCGAGCGCTGAGGCCACATAAAGACATATTTCTTAGAGTGTTGTGACTCTCCAACCTTTTTTTCTGGATTTAGCAAACCAGCAAAGGCATTTCGCCGCACAACCGCGACGTGCGACGCATTGAGGTTCACCTTTTGCAAACTCCTGGCCAACGAATCAGGGATGCCACTAGCTGGGCTGCTTTCAGTTGGCTGCAGCACTGCCACCAGGCTCTGCAGGATCTCAAGGTATTTATCTACGCCGTGGTCCCAATCGTTGAAGACCACCAGCAGCATCTCATCCACAATCTTGCCCTTACTAATCCCCTGCAGCGCCTTCAGGTCCATGTCAATGATGCCATCGAAGAAGCGGGGAATTGCGCCCTGACGCACGCCGCTTTGATTGTAGTACGACATCAGCTGCAGTGCGGCCATGCGATCACCGGCCCCATTGACACGGCGCGGGTCGTAGATGCGCGTGAGGAAGCTGCTAACGGTCCGTGCCTGTTCCGTTTGCGGCACCTTATAGGCCTGGCTATTCACAGAACGCAGCGTTCCCTTGCTTGGTCCAGGTGCAAGAGCACGCTGCGCAGCGAAGAGCAGACGATCATCGGGCTTAACGATGCCACCCGCGAGCGGGTTCCAACCCAAGCGGGGCGACTCAAAACCCACCGGCAGCGTTTTTGGGGATCCTGATTTGGATTCCGCATTGTTGGGTCTGACTTCAGCATGCTGCGGAGAGCTGAATGGGAAGTACGGAGTCTGCATTCTCTTGGTTTGCTCGGCGTTGCGCATCGGGGCATCCTCCGCCTGGCGGCCTGACGAAGAAAGGAGCAAAAACACACCGATATATAACATGAAGAGGATCACCATCCACGACAAACATCTGCGTCGGCGCCGCTGCTGTATCATCGTGCTGTGTTAGCACCTGCACTGTGCCCGATCTCTTCGCTTGTAACCGTTCCGATTCTGCCAGAGTGGGCGTGGGGGACGAAGGGAAAAGAGAAAAGAACATGCACTCCACGCATTATCCGGTCGTTTAGTTATCATTCCTCTTGGTGTAGGGTGGGGTGGGGGGCTCCGTTGACATACAACGGCACAACATCATGTATACAAAAGAAATTGGGACGTAGCCCGGACTCTCTCTATTCCCCCGGAGCACACACACACACACACACACACACAATTACAAGGGTTGCTGACTCGCACTTCGTTCCTCCACAACAAGCCTGGAGGGTGAGAACAGCCACCCGTCGTCGCTGGCGCGCCCACGTTTCCGCGCGCGGCCAAATGACACGCGCGGCGAGCAGACATTACTTTTGCTGTCTGACCCGGCAGCGTAGTTTGCCTGCAGCTTGCTTCCCAGGCTCGCCGCCGTGATGACACGTGCCGGCGTAATCTCTTCCACTAGCGAGAGCGGTGACTGCGGCTCCTGCATCCCGAGCTCCTCCTGCACAGTCATCATGACGCGTTGCAGTTCGGCGTTGTCGTCGCGGACCGCCTGAAGCTCCTCCGCCGTGTCGCCCAACTCGCGCTGCAGACACGATACCCACGCAATGCATAACTCCACGCGCCAGGCCGCCTCTTGCGCGGCGAGCCGCTGCCGCGCCACAGACTCTGTGGCATGCACGCGCTGGCGGCACTCCTCTACGTGGCGTGCGCGGAGACAACTAATCTCGCCCAGCATCATCTCGTTCTCCATGATGAGCTCTCGCACAAACGGTTCCTGCAGGACCGACATGGAGAACCCCGTTGACGGCGGCGGCGTCTTGTCCGCCCCACTCATCGCATGAGGACCCACCACGTTTTACTCTAGTGTATCTACTCCAGCTACCTCCATATGTGCGCGATTGTGCAGGCGAGGCAGTATACGTTCACATAAAAGAAATAATGAGAGAAGGCAGCGCAAAGAAAAAGATACTCTGAGCACACGATGCCTTTGGCCCCACGCGTCCGGTGAACGCACAGCGGAAAGACTGCAAAGAACACGACGCACAAAAAAAAAGAGATTCGCGTCTGTTTTTATACGGGTGACGCAAGACTAGCGAAGATGCTGAACACCTCCTCCACACTCTTGGCACGGCGGAACGCGCGCTCCCGCCCGACCTTCATGTAGACGGTACCGTTGTCGACGTACACAAAGACCGACGGCCCCGCGGCGCCCTCGTGAATGCGGCACACTTTATGCCCCTGGGCCGACCGCGCCGCCGTCTCCTCGAAGAGCAGCTGCCTGTCCTCCGTAACGGCGGACAGAATGGCGGTTGTGACCCTCCCATTCGACTGACGCAACATCGAGTGGTACTTCTTCTGTTGCGCCGTAGCGTTACCGCGACCGCTCACAACGCCAAGTTCGGCGTGGGCGAGCGCCTCCACAATGGCGAGACCGCGGTAACTGGCAGTGCACCACACCGGCAGAAGAGCCTGCGTCTTCCCTACCGCTGACGCCGCTGCTTCGCTGGACTTGGAATACCGAAGCCACGACTGCGCCAGGCGGAAGAGTGGCTCAGCAAGCCCATTGTGCACGTCAAACGTCATGCCTGCACGCGGTAGTGCGGCGGCGAAGGCGGACTCAGCTGGCACGAGAAGCGCATCGAATAACCGCTTTGTGAAGGCCACCACACGCTGCACATCTCCCGTGGTGGGCGCCTTTGAACTACATGCAGCGTATGTCTCCACGAGCACAACGTGCTGCACGAGTTGTACACATGCACGATGAAACTCTGCGGGACTTGTTGCGAGGTACGTTGGCAGAAGTTCTGCAGCACTGCGCTCCACAAGAGTGACAATGTTCGCAGCGGCCAGTGACGGGGATGCACGTACTACAATATATGGAATTAATGAAGGGAACAGCAGCAGCGCTGCTAGCTTCACAGGAACCGCAGGGGTGCCAAGGTCACACGGGAGACTACAAGCCACGTGCACGACCTGTGTGTCCAACGCCTCGGCAATCTCCTCGGGCATATTCACCCGCGCCTTGCTCAACAGGTCAAAGAGGTCGTCCCCCCGCAGCTCCTCAAGCTGTGGCACCTCCCCCGACGCAGTCATCTGCTGCAGCACATCAGCACGCCTCTCGGCCGCCTTGGTGGCGCCATGCAACCAATCCGCGAATAGCCCGGCTAGCAGCAGCTGCTCCGACACGACCGCCCCACTCGCCCACAAATTCTCAATGGACGAACCGTCATCGCTGCTCGACATCTCTGGTAAGCCCACAAGACCCTCAACTACCCGCCGTAGCAGCGGGTACGCGCTGCCGTGACGGCGCTTCTTCTCCATGAATGGTGATGGCTTCCGCGCCTCCTCCCGCAGTCGTTGGCCAACCTTCTCCGACGCGTCGATGTACGACGTGAACTCTGCGAGGCCGCGCAGCCCGCGGAGGGCCGCTTCAAAGCTCGCTGACTTCGGCATCACCGACGGCGCATCCGGGGGGGCCCCTCGTGACCGCTCCTCCAGCAGGAGCTGAGAGCGCTGAAAGGCCTTGGCCGCGTCATTGAAGAGCGCGTCGACCTCGTTCCTGGAGAACATTTGGCTTTCGAATAATAATAAAAGAAAACACAACAACAGGGAAGATGAAAAGAGGAATGCGGTGAAGACGCAGTACGAGTGCAGTAATCCACATTCTGTGCGATTGGTGCACACACTGCACCCTGTGTGAAGGTGATCCGTGAGAAAGGCACACAGAATACATCACTTCGCAAAAGCCTTCTGTACCTGGAAGTCATGAAATGGACGTTATGCAATCGTCTGCGCTCCCCCCATCCCCCGCAGTACTCACACCAGTGGGACAACAAAGCACACGCCCTGCACCAGCATCACCGTACCCTCCCCTCCTCCTCAATTGCAAGGAAAAAAAAGTGCTGTAGCGGGATTCAGCTCAATACCACCCACTTCACGCGTTAGCTGAGAAGCCGGTCGAGGTGGACAATGGCCCTCTGCTCACGAAGTGCATTAACGCCCTTTGCATATGAGCATTAGGCAGGATTAAACAACAACGACAAGCGAGAACAAAAGAAAACCTCTGTGGGAGCCTTCAGCCTCTCCTAAGCCGCAACAAGCGAAAAAAAAAAAAGGAAAAGCGGCAGCACGGTGCTGCACTGCTCAGCGGCACACGGAAACGAAGGCGGTTACCGGCTTTTGACCCACAATCACTGGCAATAGAGGGTTAAACAGAAGCGGGCAAGGGGAGGGGGAACAAATATGGAGAGGGCGGAGCTGCGCGGCATCAACCACATGCAACGAACGGAAACGAAGCACCCAGCAACCATATAGCACAGGCTGCGAAGGGTCTTTTGCTGTAACTAAAAACAACAACAAACAAATCAGTGGTCTTGCTGATACACCTTTTGTGCGGGCACACGCCCATTTGATTACGCCTGCATATATATATATATATATATGGGCGAGGAAGACACCTGAGCAACAACCTCGAGAGATACGCGTGGCCCACAAAAAATATATGAAGAATGGACACATTCTCCTTATCCTTCGCGGCCTCGCCAACCAACGTTTGCATTACCATAACCGTCCATCTCCCCTTCTGCTCAGTTGAAACACACGTAGATGGCTACAAGGGTGATGGTGATGTAAATGCCTCCGCCTATCATTGCCCCTCCCGATGCCTCGCTACACATAAAGAAGTGATCTGGGAGCTTCACACAGAGTATACCCGAGAGTATTAGAACCACAGGATTCATCATTACAATGACGACGGTAGTCGTCATACCAAGCACCATGAGTGCCTGCTCCCGCGTCAGACACTGCATGACCAACATCACGCCCCATAAGACGGAGGCAATGATGTAGCAGACAGAGGCGTAGCGCAGGTAGTGATCATGTTCATCCTGGAACGTCTGGCGTGAGCCAATCATGTTGGTAGTCAGTGGAATATAATGTCTTTGCCATGGCTGACCGTCTTCGTACCATACTCGTGACGATCCCGGCTGCTCTTCTGTCGCAACGCGTGCATAACTTACGCTGCAGAGATAACTAAAGGTGCCTGTTTGCTTTGGGCGGAGGTCTGCGTTAAGGTACACGTCGTCAGGGAACAGACGATCGCGCTCTGCCTTGACACGCTTGTAGACAGATTCCGCAAGTGCGACGACCTGTGGCCGACCAAGCACAGAGCACCACGCCCCAGTGCTGTTTCCGAATGGGTCGAAGCCGAGTGCCGTGCGCGTGCCGATGTCCTTTGTGACCAGCGCGCTTGCGTTGTTAAAAACGGCTGAATCGTACTGCGCATCGAAGAAGAGAAGTACATAACACATTGTCTCGTTTGAACGCGATAAGCAGTACGGGAGGAACGTTGTCTCGTTATTGTCCATTGTGAGCTGGCGCCAGCGTAGGTCGCTGAGTCCCGCCGGCAGGAGCGCGAAAGACGGGTGGCCGCGCAACTCCATGGCGCTGCATTGGGTGTCCATCGTGAGGTCCAGCACTGTGCCGCCGATGATGTGACCATTGCTCTGCACACGCGCCATGGCGAGCGCTGATATCGTGCCGAAGACACATCCGGTCACCAGCAGGAAGAGGCCCCACGCGAGGAGGCGCATCATGTTGTGCTTCTCCGAGGGCGAGGCGGCACCTCCAAGGGGGACAATCACCACGGTGACCTCCAGCACCACCATCACTAACATAAGCGTGAACGTCACCCCCCCGAGTGCCTCATCGTTGCGCAGAACAGTAGGGAGAAAACCTAAAAAGTACGACAGGACAAAGTTGGACGCGCAAGCGGCAGCACTGAGAACGGCGATGGCGATGCACCACCGCACGTGGCGCGCCGCCCCCATCAATTCCTCGCGCCGCTGCGCCGCCTGCACTTTGCTACGCTCACGGAAGTACTCTTCCTGCGTGACGATCTTCGGCTTCACCACCACTTTTTGGATATACTTCGGCAGGTCCTTGATGCGCCGCCCCCAGTCGAGGCGGCGGTAGCGCGTCCAATGCGGCGCGTAGTTCGCGTAAAAGCGCCAATAACGGCATGTGTGGCTCACCTGCAGGATCTCCCACATATCAAATGAGACGTATAGAAGTATGATGCATAACACGTCGGCATCGAACGGGCCGTTCTGCTCCGGCACACTCACTTCCTTGCCTGATCGGTGCGAGTGGTATGAGATGCAGGAGCGGAAGCACACCACATCCGCCGGCTCGCCACTAAACGTGAATCCGAGCAAGTCACCCTCGCGTTGGTGCACCATGAGCCCGCTGATCTGCTGTGATGAGCTTGTGAATCCGGTCGTGTCGGTCGTTGTCAGGTCTTCCGTAAAACTGCTCCATTCGCGATCGTGGTAGCGTAACGGTAGCGGCATGGGCACCGCATCATGTGTCGCCACGTGTACCCGCCGCGCACGCTCCGTCGTGTTCAAGTCTGGCAGTGGACTTGCGCCGCCCTCCTCGTACGCAACACCGATATTGTCGAGTGAATTTCGGTCACCGGAGCGCGCCCAGTAATCCATGCCACTGCCGCTCGTGTAGTCTACGATATTATGTTTACAGGTTTATCCCTTGCTCGACTGGCAGCTCCAACACACAACGAGAGAGAAAGTGTGGGGGAAAAAATAATAATTGCGATACAACAACGACGACAACAACAACAATACCAACCACAAAAGACCCCTATGAGCTTCAGGCAGACTACTGAAAATATGTATATGTGCGTGTGTGAGTGTGTGTGCGATTACCGTGCATTCCTGATCCGCGGCGCACTCAAACGTTCTGTGGGGGAAACACGGTTGCACCAGCGAAGCGCTCCCGCTCCAGCCGTTCTCGCTGCTCGCGCAGGTGTCGAAGCCCCTCTGGCACGCCGATCACGAACTCGCCGGGCCGCCCCCTCCGCCGCACATCCGTCAACTGAGCGATGCGGCGCTTCAGCCCTTTGCTCCACAACCGCGACGCGACATACGCCTTCTCGTCGTCGCTGCGCGGGAAGCCGAAGCGCCACGTCCACACCGCCTCAGTCCGCGCCTCGTTTTCGTTGCCCTCGCCGCGGCCGCCTTCCGAGGGTGCTTGATGCTCCTTATACGAGTGTTGTTGTTCGTTTTCTTGTTTCTGCTGCTGCAGGCCGTGGCCGAATGGGGCCTCCTCGATATTATCCTCCTCATCCCCACTGTCGGCATGAGCGGCAGTGTCCCACTCCCGCGCTTGACGCAATTCGATACGACGCATTGTAGAAGCTATGCTCTCAGAAGTGGTGGCTTGCTCCGCGGCACTAGAGAAAAGACATCCACGCTGCCGATAGTCTCCATAGTTGAGTGCCAACTCCTCCGCTCCCTTAATTGGGCGCGATGCGACAACGATGACGCCCTCACCGGGGCGATACTGGTACGTCACGTTAGGGTTGCGAGCGGTATGGTTCAGCATGTCAAGGAACGGCACCACAGCCATCTGCGGCTGCTGTGGACACCACGGATGCAAGTTCAGCGCACGGGAACGCACCATAAAGTGGGACCAACGCAACTCTTCCATTGTGCGTGCTGAGGCTTCGGTGCCAGCATTGCTGTCAGTTTCGCAACGCATAGGGGGTATGCACACAAGGAGTGGCTTAAGGACAGCGTTGTGGAGGAATTCTTCGTGTTTCAGCAGCTGTCGTGCTGCCTCCGACTCCGCATGGCGGTGCTGCGCGCCCGCCGCCTCGTGCTGCCGCTGTGTCAGCGGATGCCGTGTGCCACTGTAGAACGCCGTCATCAACTCCTGTGAGGCAGCCACTTCCGCCTGCGGCCTCCCGATGTGCGCGATACCGTGCTGCTCGGCAGCTTGCAGCATCAGCTCAACTGCCGCCTCCGGAGCGCTGGCACCGTCCGGCGGGAGCGCCGCTGTGTGGTCACCGAGGCGCAACTGGCGCTGGAGCGGGGCGAACGGTGCTGGCGCCACGCGCTGCAACAACAACAGCCCCATCGGCGGCACACGCGGCGGCAGGCACGCGACCCACTCCGCCAGAGGGTGACGCACGCCGCCGTAGCGCAGCACGTGCAGTGCGAGCACAATCAGAAGCGCATCGCGTGTTGACAACAGGTGCGGGTCACCCCGCACATTCACGAGGTGCCGCTGCAACTCGGTGTAGTTTGCGACGCATCCTTGCGCCGCGGCACGCTGCAGTACGGTGACGGCGGTCCCGCCGTGCAGGATGTGCGACTCCGGCACGACACAGAGCCGCTCACCTCTGCAGATGGCGCGCCTTGCCACCACACAGCGCACTGGCGCGGCCCTTCCGCCGTCCTTCCTTGCATTGCGCTGCTGAA